TCCTACCCTAAAATTCATGTGGATATTCAAGGGACTCAGAATAGCCAAAATAGTTGTGAAATTGAACAGCAAACTTCAAGAATTCACAAACCTCAATTGTAAATCTTCATACAAACTTACAGTAATTAAGACCTCAAAAAATGTACTACTGTCATGAGAACAGACATCAACATCAGTAAAGAATTGAGAGGCCACAAACAAATCCTAACATTTATAGTCAATTGCCTATTGCCAAAGATGTTAAGAAAATTAAGTGAAGAAAAATTAGCTTTTTCAATAAATAGCACAATGACAACAAAATACATGCTTGCATGTTACCTAATAGGCACCAACCTCTAACTTCTTATCTGTACAAATTAATTTTAGCTCACACTCAAGGCTTCTGTCTTCCATCTACCTACACTTTCTCATAACACATCTTTAAACCTCTACACTAACCACACAACACATCTGCAAACCCTCCCCTATTTCTCACTGCAAATATGCTGAGGTCTATTTTAGTCTGCAGGACATTCAGGAATCTTACTTAGATGAAGCCGTTCTTTTTGCATTCTCATATACACTGTCTGCAAATATGACTCTCATCTTTGTCTTATGACATGGCATTTGATATTTTCTAAGTTGTTTGTAACTGTTTCCATTTAATTGCAGTGTCCACTGTATTCTCCTCAGGTAGATCACTTTTATTTATAGAAGGGTTGGGAGAGATTGAAGATGGCTGACTGGAGACAGCTGGTGAGCACATCTCCTAAGAGGATCTGAAAAAATGAGTCAGTATTGGCTCTTCAGAGGAACCTTTGGAGGCTGATATGGAAATACATCGGAAGACATATGGGACCACTAAAAACAAAAGGGATCAAGACCCAGCCTCCTTCAGATCCAGCCCTGGTATGGAACCAGGAGAGGACCTCTTACGAAGAGAAAAGGTGAACTACTGGGAAAGTTTTCTCAGCTCTCTCATAGACCTCAGCAGCCCTAGCCATGGGGCAAAACAAAACAAAACAAAACAAAAAAACCCTTCCACTCCCCGACACCTCACTCTTCCCAAATGCAGAAAGCCACCTCTAATCCGGAAAGAGGCCCTTCTTAGGCTTGAACTATAGGGCCTTTGTTTCCTGTGAGGCTGGGAACCAGCTGCTACCATCCTGGCACAGAAGGACCCCAAAGGTCTGCAGTCTGCAGCCCTGGACTACTCCATGTGGGTGATACCACCTCCGTCTCTGGCCCCAACCAGGGCAGTGCTTCCACCTCTAAGGCATTTCTGTCATCCACCTCAAACTTAATCAGCAGTTGTATTCTCAGCTTGACCAAAGGAGGCTGCTGTCCTGCAGGATGGGGAGATAGCCCTCTTACAGCCCCCGCTTTGACTGTATTTGTCTCTCCCTTGTAACAGGGAGAAAACAAGGAGGAGGAGCCTCTCTGCAACTCCTAGCCAGGAAGGACCACAGCCACTACTGACAAGCCAGAAGAAAGAGCCTGCCCAGGTGAGAAAAGGTTGCTCCATCAATGACTGAATATTTGGGTGGGGGCTGAGCCTGCCAGACTTCTCCCAGTCACCCACCAAAGTGACTGCTATGGGCTTGCCTGCATGCAGGAAAAATTGGAAGTGTTGCAACTCGCAGTCAGATAAGACCCCTGCCTTCCAACTCAAGTGAAAAGAAAGGCCCCAAACCCAGGAAGGCAATTGTGCCCCATCCCACCTTGATTAGTTTGGCAGGCACTGAACCGGTGAGACTTCTCCCAGATGCCCACTAACTGCTGGGGCCTCACCCACAGGTGGGTAGAGAAAGAGTGCTGGGACTCTAAGGCAGGCAGGGGAGCCCTGCTTCCTAAACCGGAGTATGAAGGCCCCTACCGTCTAGACTGCAGTTAAGTAGGTGCCTCACTGGCACTGTTAAATCTCCACACTCTGCCTGAACATGATAGCTGTGGATCAGAGCTCTGCTAAGGACACAGTTTCAAGAGGTCATCATTACCCACCCAGAAATGATGCTGCCACTGCCTTATCCTTTGTGACCTGTGGGTCAGGGAAAGAACAGGGAGTTTGGACACTAAAGGAAGTCAAAGCATCTTAGGCAGACACATCAATGAGGAGGAAGAGGGAGAGGAGAAGGAACCATTGCAAAGCCACATACCAATAATAGCAACTTTAATGACAATAAGTAAAATAAAAGGATAAGATAAGAAGGAATTAGATGAGATGAGAAGGAATCTCATCTTCCCGTAGATGAGAAGGAATCAGGAACCAGTAATCAGATTCCAGTAATCAGAGGACTAGCAATCCCAAAAGTCAAAGCATTTTGACACCCACATGGATCAAGCAGGCTCCTGAGCAATGGATTTTTAACCAGAATAAATAGTCTTGACTGATGGATAAAGAGTTTAGAATAGAGATGGCAAAGTGACTCAATGAGATCCAAGATAACACGGATACCCCAAGAAAATAGACTTGAAAATTAGTCCAGGAAGTGAAAGATTACTTGGCCATCCCAAGAAAGAACCAAACTGAAATGCTCATAAGCGAACCTTGAACAACTATCATAATACTTTAAGAAAGGGATTGGCAGTAGTGGGAAACTGCCAGGGAAGGGCGGGGGCAGGTTTGACAATAGTGGGAAACTGCCAGGGGAGAGGGGAAACCCTCATCAACAAGGGTACCTTCATAATGAACGTTTGTATACCTAACCCTGAATTGTACCCCACATGTTAAAAATAAAAAATTTAAAATTCTATTATGTGTTCCAGGAATTTCTTTTTTTTTCTTTTCTAATAAATATGTAGGGTACAATTCAGGGCTAGGTATACAAACATTGATTATTCAGGTACCCTTGTTGCTGAGGTATGCCCCTCCCTTCCCTAGCAGTTTCCCTCAACTGCCAGTCCCACCCCCCTTCCCTGACAGTTTCCCACTACTGCCAATCCCTTTGTTATAGAATTATTATTGTTCAAAGTCCACTTATTCAAAACACAATCACAAGCCTTAATAGCAGACTTGACAAGGCAGAGGAAATAATTTCAGAGCATGAAGATTGATCTTTTGGATTAACTAAGACTGACAAAAAGGAAGCATTTGAGAGACATGGAATTAAAGAAAAAAGATCAAATCTATAGCCAATTAGAATTCCTGAGAGAGAGGGGGGAAAGCGAGACAAACTTGGAACAAACTTTTAAAGATATTATCCAAGAAAACTTCCCCTATCATGCTAGGGAGACCATCATGTAGATACAAGACATTCAGGGAACTCCTGTGAGGTACTACATGAGGCGACCATCCCCAAGACACTTAGTCATCAAATTAGCCAAGTTCAGCCTGAAATAAAAAGATAATATTAAGGCAGCTAGAAAGAACAGATGTGACATCTTACCAGGGCAGACATATCAGAATAGCTACAGATCTCTCAGCAAAAATCTTACAAACCAGAAGAAATTGAGGGCCCATTTTTAGCATTCTTAAAAAAAAAAAGCCAAAACAAACCAAACAAACAAAAATATATGGCAAAATAGGCTTCAGAAATGAAAGAGAATTAGACAACAATATGACAGGAACAAACCTTCACATGGCAGTAGCTAACTTAAATGCTAATGGCCTGAAAACACCACTTTAAAAAATCACATTGGCAAATTGGATGAAGAAAACAATGAATTCATTCTTTTGCTACCTTCAGTAAACTTATCTCAATTCAAATGACACCCGTAGGCTCAAGACAAATGGATGGAGAAAGGTCATCCACAAAACTTAAAAATAAAAAAGAGCAGGAGTTGCTTTTCGTCACCAGGTTAAATAGACCTTAAGTGAATAAAAGTAACAAAAGACAATGAAGGACATTATAAAATGATAACAGACTCAATTTAGCAGCACAATATATCCATCTGAATGTGTACACACCCAAATAGCAGCACTCACATTTATAAACCAATTGTTAACTAACCTAAGAGAGTAAAAAGCCCTACAGTAGTAGTGAGGTACTTCAGCAGCTTTAGACAGATCAAGGCAGAAGACTAACAATAAATCTGGGACTTATTGACACTTCCCAAATAGATCTAATAGACATCCATAGAACACTCCACCCAGCAATCACAAAACATTCTTCTCACCTACACATGTACACATGGAAACTCTAATATCAACCACACACTCCATTATAAACCAAACCTGAATAAATTCCAAAAAGTCAGAATCATACTCAGTATCATCTCAGACTACAGTGGAATGAAAATAACTATCAAAACCAAGAGAAACCCTCAAAAACACAAAAATACATCGAAATTAAACATGCCAGAGGCCATCATTCTAAGCGAATTATCACAGAAGCGGAAAACCAAATATTGCATATTCTCACTTGAACAAAACAATAGGCTATATGGACACAAGGCAAAAAACAACATACGTGGGGGACTCCTAAAGAGGGAAGGGAGGGAGCTAGAATAAAGAGTTTAAAATCAACCATCAAGTACCATTCAGGGTACCTGGGATTGGGGGTGCCCAGGCTCATCGGAAGCCCAACCTCACCATCAAACAATATGCCTGTGTAACAAATCTTCACATGTATACCTACATCTGCAATAAAAAAATATTGTAGGAAAGAACTTTCACAAAATTTTAAAAAACTCCACTTTAAACTGGAATTTCCTAGGAGTGGAATCAAAATGATAGCTTTAAAAATCCAAAGAATTATCTGGTATATTACTAAAAGTGGTAACAGGTTGAAGTCTTAGAGTCTTTATGCAAAGATACATTTGTTCTTACTACTTCCTTATATCTTACATGTCTCATATAAATTAAACCATTTATTTTAAAAATGACAAATTAAAAAAGGGTCAATGCCTTTTAGCTATTTGACAATTACATTTTCTGTGATGTTTAGTGCATATTCATAAATATAATATGTACTTGGCAAACATTGCTGGCTGACCATTTGGATATCCTTAGTAAACGCCAGAGCTATTTAATCACAAAATGAACAAGAAATTAAAACACTGAGATCTTGCTAACATTTTACCTGCTCCATTTTGATCAGAAAGCAATCAATAAAGTCCCGAGGGTTGTTAGCAGCCAGTGATTCTTGGTGTTCTTTTGCTTTCTCCAAAACATAATTTTTTGTAAGAGCAACATTTTTAAATAATTTGTTATGAATCCCTGGGAAATAATCAAGGAGAATAGGGAAATTGTTGCAGACCTAAAAGAGAAAAACATATTAACTAAGCAATATCTAAATACATAATCATATATATAACTATAACATAATCATATATGTCTGTCTATCTATCTATCTATCTATCTATCTCACAAAACCCTGGTTAGAAATTATAGCCAAAAATATAAATAAAATATGATGTCCATATGTTGACAGGGAAAATTTATTGTGCATATATAATTCTTAAACTTATAGAACATTTATAGAAAGATTTGAGTGAGAAAATTCTGATCATGGTAAAAAGGCTATTATTATTTTATAGAATCATACATCATTGTTATCGTACAAAATATCTTTATGTCATTTTTTTTTCCATTTTGAAACACCAATTCTTTCTTCCAATCTTCAAATTTAGGATGGCATGAATTACTATGATTCACATTTTGTAGACGACCACAGAGGTGGAGGTACAGTGGGCTACTTGCTGTATATTGACTTCTATCAAGCTGATTCAAAAATGGAATCAGTATTTTAATAGTTGTCAGGGACCAAGATACCTTACCTACAATCCCAACTGTGCAATGAGCAGATAAATGACTTTTCAAAGATTATACCATTGTCATTTAAGCAGACTGTAGGACATGCCAACTCATTGCAGAAGAATTGAGATTTTTGTTTATGGTTCATATGATAAAACCAATGATTTTTGTCATTCATAACCCAGTTACCACATGAGCCAGCATCTCAACTGAGGCTTCAAACATTCTTGGTCTACTCAGTGATTTCTGGCAGCTTCTTTGGGTTCAAATAGTCTCCCTCCCTTAATGGACATATTTTCTTCCTAAATTTGAATAATCCTGCCAAGTGACAAGATAAAGAGGTCTCTAAGTGCTGACTGAAGGACAAGCCTTGTGGGTAATGAAATACTTCAAAAAAAGCCTGGATATCCATTCAGAGATACAAGCATGCATTGAGGTGGTTACTAAAGTACTTTATAGGAATAGGCTTTGGAGCTGTAGTGGGAAAACCACTGGTCAAGGAGCTAGTAGTCTAGAAAGACAGCCATATATGTGGGCATTTGTTTACTGTGCTTTAATAAAAGACTCTTATGCTAAATAAAGGACTCAGCCATCTTTTCCAGATGGCCACACATAAACTTCTGAGTAGGACTGTGGTATTAAAAAATGTACTCTACAGTTTAGTCCAAACAGAACGTTAGACTTTTCAGATAAAAAAAGGTTAAATAGTTTCTTAGGAAGACAAAATGTAGGCCTCACATAGATCCACGGGGAGCTCAGAATCTTGAAGTTTTTATTAAATCTTTCTATCAAGGTAAGAAAATTCTGATCTTTATAATCAAATCGATTCTGGAAAATGATGGAACAGATCACATTGCAGGGAGCACAGCTCAGGATAAAAGTGGGATCACAGGATGAGCCTAAAGAGATGGAAACAAGTTTAAAATACAATTAAAATATAAATATAAACAATTCTGCATTTTTAAAGAGGGAAAGGAAATTTAACAATTTTAAGAATCTCTTTCATTACATAAAAAAATTAAGCATGCATAAAATCAACATAACTTTTTTTCTTAAACTTGAGCTAAGCATTACTACTGAGCTGGATAAATAATGGTATTTTTCTTGTGGCAATTCATTCCACGGCTTTTATTTAAGTCCTTTAGCCCAAAGTGACAGTTACTTTGAAAGGAAAAGAGAAAAACTTAAAACAATACAATAATTAAAGTTTTTAGAGCAGAATCACATTTGTCTACAAAGCTTATGAACAACAAAGCCCAGAGAAAGAAAGAGAGCAAGTAGTTGTGGACCTGGAGACTTTTTACACATAATGAATAGCTGGATGAATCGTGTGTTGAGCCAGTAGAGAGGCACTAGAGCCAGAGTACCTGTGTGTGAATTTATGTATTTGATGGTACAAACGTGAAAAGTAGAATGTATCCATGTTACATATCAAGAAAAATGCAAACAAATGTGAATTGATAAATTGATGTGTTTTCATTATTCCAATGTTTTAAAAACCAAATTTATTCTTAAGAACACAAATATTAATCATTTCCAATTATCCTCCAAGTTTAATTTATTTGGGAAAGCTGCTCCCGTGTGAATTCTGGGATATTATTCCATATAGCCATCAAGATAAGTATGTTTTAATAAGCGTCCAAATTTGATCATAAGTTAGGCCAAGTCTATTTATTTACAGGTAATAAAAAAAAATAAGATAGGTGATCTCCAGTCTTTCCTTTTACTTCATTTGAATTAGGAAATTTAAAATAAAGAATCTGATATCTGAGTTAAAGATTCATTGTGGCAAACACTTCGTAGATGATTAGAACTGGAAGTGGGAGAAAAGTAATTACCATATATCTCTATGCCAAAACCGATACCGTGGGAGGGGGCAAAGAGAGATAAGCAAAACTGAAAGCAGACCCAAATTATACTTAAGGGTGTCAGGGTAAAGAGTTATTGATCATACTAAAAATCTAGTTAAACAAGTTGATTATATATTGTTATTTGAGTATTTTGCAGAATTATACTATAGCATATATTAACTCAAGGCATATACATCACTTAAATAAGTAAAGGGAAATCAAAGATAATAAATTCTGATATTTTAAAAATAGTACAGTTTTTACAGAAAAATATAAATCGATGAGAACTGGCAGGTACTGTAGGCAGGGACCTGGGAGATACACCCAGGCATGTCAGTACTAAGATAATTGAAATAAATGAAATCACAAAAAACTTGGTTCAGACTTGGTAAAAGTGTAATGGGGTCATCCTTATTCACTTGCCAAGTATGTTGCTGAAATAATCTGGAAGAAGCAGCCAACATTTGTGCCATGGAGAAAACATTTCTCTTTAACTCTTCCTGAAAATGAACTCAAAGCTTGCAAGCATTATATATGATTTGAAAAACAAGGAAACGAAGTTGAGAAAATAGGATCAAATGACCTTATATATGCACATTCTATGCTCAGTCATGTCTGCACACACACAACACACATACACACAGGCTGCCTTGGCTCTCAGCTTCAAATATGCCTCCCCCACAACAGTGCTGACAACTAAAATCCATAATGAAAGCTAGGACGTCGCCTGAAATGTTTCTAAGAGAAAACATTTCATTAGGGAAAACAGGCATCTGTTAAGGTCACTGATACAAAACGTCACCCACCCTTGGTTTTTCTTAACTCCTCCACCAGGTTGCGGGCTTCCTCTTGAACACGGTCCTCAATGCTCCTCTTTCCCATCCCAAAATTCCGCAGGGTCATGAGGGAGAAACGTCGGATCTCCTTCCATCTCTTTCCATTACTGAAAATAATTCCTAAAAGAGGAAAGAAAAAAAATTAGGAGGGAGATCTCAGGCAAGGAACACAGAGCTGGCACCAGATGTCCATGGAAATTGGCCAAGCTCTGCCTAAGAATTTGTTCTATGTCTGTTTTCATTCCTCCCCACCCACATTACTGCTGATGACACAGGCACCTGCATACCTACCAAGTCCTTGATTAGTTCTTTCAGAAACTGGAAAAATTCCTCTTCCAGAAAATTTATCTCCAAGGTCAATCAAGGCTTCCTTCACTGCTTCATATCCATACAACACCACGATGGGCCTCGTGCCAAAATATACAGTGAACACAGGGCCATAGACTTTTGAGAACTGGGGAAGGATATGTACAAAGCCGCAAAAGAGGTCACTGTTGGGTTCACATGTTATGCTTAATTCACAACAATAACGTCATTCTGATTTTAATCTGCTTCTCTGCCACTCGTAAATTCTAATACTTCTGAAGTTTACATATCAATGTGATGGTGGCTGGTTATTGTTGCCACACATGGATGGCCTATGAGGCGCCATGGCCCAGGCAAAGGTACACAGATTGAAACTAATCCTCACACACATTCCACACGTGAGTTCTCCCCCGTACAAATACCAAAACTGAAGTTGGGGAATTTCATATTTATTATCAGGGTCCCACATGTGATATAGGGAATCTCCAAATTTGAACCTCTGTTTATTCAAACGCTGATGCTTGAGCAATGTTTCAGTCCCCCTGACCACCTTGAAACCGATACCCAGCTCACAGCTTCAGAATCACTTGTAACTGTTGGTATAACCAACAGACAAAGAGTAATCACCACAGAGGCAGAACTAGGACGTGTAGCATCTCCTGGAAAAACAGTTTCATCATCCCCTGGCATTCTTGTGCACAGATAGCTGCTTGTACAGAATCCGCATAATAATAATAAATAATTCTGTTATCACCTATTGGGTCCTGACTGATTACTTCTTTATTTCATTCATTAATGTTGGTTCTGAATCTATACCTTGCTCCCTGACATCAGATAGAAACTGAATCTTCAGATAACTTCGATTTTAGCAGCTATTCCAAATAAAATACATGGCTAATATAGCAGATGATTTACTGAGTCAAAACTGTAATCACAAAAAATTTTGCTTATTGTTTCTCTTCATCCCAAAATTATTTCAAATGGTTATGAAACAAAGAAGGAACACAGTACTAGAAATTTTGCCCATATATAATTTTGATGCTACCATACAATGACCTAAATGTTTCTCTTCTCACAAAATGCATTACCTCATTCCACCATTCTTTTGCCAGTGGCAGATTGGACAAGGCAACAGACAAATCAAAGTTTATAAGAAGTATTTTGTTTTACAATAATCTTTTATAGAAGTGTGCTTCTATACTGCTAAGGTATAGAAGTCAAATACCTTACTTACTCTTTGCAAACTACTGGAGAAATATAATGCATACTTACAGTGCTGAAAGATTTGCTGATGTTCTTTGCATCTATTTGTAGGATATTTCCAATAATAGGGAGAGGAATTGGGCCAGGAGGGAGCTTCCTTCTCCCAGAGCTCTGTCTTCTGAGTGCAAGGAGAAGCAAACAGGAGAGACAGAGCACTAGGACCACAAATAGATCCATTGCAGCCTTATCCTTCTTTGAAGGCATCTGTGAGCTTACTCTCCAAAGCTTATATAACATCTCTGCTAATTGATTGTGTGAGTCTTTGACATACAAAGTGACCAATCACCAAAGCCACTTTCCTTTGAGTGAACTTTGGCACACTAATACGGATAAAAATAAAATGATCTTTAGTCTTGTTATCTTTTTTTCCAGTTTCTATCCTGGACATTCTGGCTTAAAGGTACTTGATTGGAACCCAGACACTGGTCAATTTTTGAAAGCATTGACTTTATAATGTGCAGTGGTGGTGGAAAAGCACTGAAGTAAAGGATTAGATTTTTTAAAAAATCACTCAAAATTTCTGGAATCTCAGATTAATGGCTAGTCTGGAATTATTATTTGAGTGAAATCAGTGTATTATATTTAAAAATATATAATGCAATGCTATATAAAACATTAGGACTTTTTACCTTAAATAACAAAAGTCTGTCAAATATTTTGTGTACTTTTAACAATACAGCTGCCTACACAAGAAATAGCTAACTTAACTCATACATCACAAATGACCAAACATATATCGTTATTACCTAATAATTTTATATATCTTCATGATTAATTTTTAAAAAAACACTCTATTAAGGAGATTGCCATTTTTTATTTTTCAAATGAAGAAAGAGACTGGGAGAACAGGAGACCAAGCATGCCACAGAGTTCATAGCTGGCAAAACTGGGATTTGAACTAAGATCTTCTGATGTCCATTGGGATAAAATATCACAACAGAGCAGCTCTAGAACTATTTTAGTGAAACCAAGTAAAGTGAGACTTTGAGAAATTTTGTATTTTGTACCTCCCAGACATGGCTACCTCTGCTTTTTATTTTTTGTTTTTAATTTTTATTTTAAAGATGTGGGATACAATTCAGGGTTAGATATACAAATGGTCATTGTACAGATAAAGTTTGGGCCTCACTTTGGTCCCCCACATTACCTGGTTTGAGATCAGGTACCCTTATTGAGGAAATGTGTTCCCCCCCACCTCCTCTGGCAGTTTTCTGCTACTACTTTGTTTTTGTCTGTTGTTGTGAGAAATAGTAGAATGCAATAATGTATGGTAACTCGTGGAAATTATTCACAGAACAACAATTGTGGATTCAATAGAGGAGAGGAGGTAGGAAAATCATTAAATTGACCCAGAAGAGAGAATAGTATGAATAAAATGGATACTTGAATGGGAGCCAATATTTAGTTGTCATGATCTAAATACTGTTGGGCCATTACACTTTATTGAATCATTAATGACAATGCTTCTTCAATTGTAGACCATAGCTTCACAGCAACTTGGATGGATTTAGAGTCTATAACACTGAATGATCTATCATAGAAACAAAGAACAGAGTATCACATGTTCTTACTCATAAGCAGACTCTGAACATTTACCATAACTATAAGAAAGGGGTTGGCAGTCGTGTGAAGTAGGGGGAAACACAACATCAATAAGGGTATCTGATCTCAAACCAGGTAACATGGGACCAAAGGGAGGTCCAAACCTTATCTGTACAATAACCACTTGTAGACTTAATCCTTAATTGTACCCCACATCTTCCAAATAAAATTAAAATATCAAAAAAAAAAGAAAAACAGAAAAAAATTGTAGACTCTGTAAAGATAGCATCATATTTCTTCTAAATTGATTAGTGGAGGTGTTGGCAACTCTTTTATTGAGAAAAAAATGAGTAATGTTACAACACAATTACACAAAGTAGGCCGTGTGTACAGAGATTCTGACAATTTACAGAGAATTTCACACTTGCAACATCACATCACTTTTTGTTCTCTCGATGACCTTTGCCAAAGGAAAAGTTATTTCCATTTTGGGGAGGAAAATGTTGAGCCTAGAGACTCAATATCTTCGCCATGGACACATAATATAGACTGCAGATGAAAGAACTGAAGCTGGAACCCCTGTGTGTTCCTGGCTTCTCACCGTGCAAAACATTCAGTTCAGCTGGGGAACCAGGGTTTACTGATTGTGTACTGAAAGTCAGTGTTTCAGGGTTCAATCAAACCAGTAACTTTCAAAATAAACATTAATTTAGTTAATAATTATTAGCATCCATTGAGTAAATGGGATTCAGAAGAGTTTGGTTTTATTCCTTAAAACGTGAGTGAGTCCAGGTACTTGTGAACCTTTTTGCAGGGCAAAGAGAAGCCATTATTTACTGCCTGACACGCAAAGCTATAAACTCTAAAAAACCTACATCCTCTTATTTGGATCAAATGAACTCAATTGCTCTCTTCAAAGCAATCATTTCATTCCTTGAGTGATAGGTATCCCTGTTCTGTTCCCTTCTCATCTTGCTGAGCTGAGGTTCCACCTGGACCTTTCCTTTTTTAGAATAAAATAATCATAGATGATTTATAGATAGAAGGGATCTCTCAGATAAACTAGTCTAAATCTTGCTTTGTTTTTTAGGATGAGCAACTGGTGACTCAGATAAATTAAGTGTCACCAGTGAATCAGTACAAAGCTTTGTCTTAGAATTCCCATTTTCTTTCCTTTTTTTTTCTGGTAATTTTATTTTTTAATTAAAACTTAATTTTGAGGCAATTATTCATTCACATGCATTGTAAGGAGAAATACAGAGAGATTCCACGTATCCTTTACAGTTTCTCCAGAAAGGGTAACAGTTTGTAAGATCATAGTACAATATCCTAGCAAGAACATGGCATTGATATAGTGAAGATACAGAACATTTCCAGCACTGCAAGGGTCCGTCACCTAGTCACACTCATTTGTCCTTAACCCCTGCAACCACTAATTTATTTCTCATTTCTGTAATTTTGTTATTTCTAGACTGTATCAAATGGAGTCATACAGTACCTTAACCCATACCTTTTGAGAATCCCCATTTTCTAACTCCTAGATCAAGGACATCTCACATCTCATCCAACGCAATTTCCATCTTGGTCCTAATGATCTGGAAGATATTAGCATTAACCCCTTCATTGTCACAGAGTGTTGCAAACCTCAACTTGGCTAATGCGGTAAATTAGAACAAGTTTTTTTCACATTTATAGAATTAAATTTTTAGAGCATTTTTGGGCTCCCAGCAACATTTATTGCCAAGTACACAGTTCACGCATACCCTTCCTTGAACTCATCCATGGCCCTTCTAAAAATTAGTAAGTCTCATCAGTGAGGTTTAGTAGTTACAATCCATGAACCAACAGTCCTTCCCTCATCAACCAATGTTTATAGTTTATGTAGTGCTCACTCTTTGTGTTGTACTTTCTGAGTTTTGACTAGTATCCAATGATGCGTATCCTCCACTGTAGTATCATATAGAGTAGGTTCACTGCCCTAAATATCCTTTGTACTTTTCTTATTTGCTTCTTCCTTGCCTTCAAGTCCTTGCAAATCATCATTTTAGTGTCACTATGGGTTTTCCTTTTCCAGAATCTCATATGATTTGAATCATATAGTATGTAGGGTTTTCAGATTGCTTTCCTACACTCACTAATATTCATAAGGTTCAACATATGTCTTTTCATGAATCAACATTTTGGTTATTTTTAATCCTATGTAATACTCCCTTGCATTTATGTACTACAGTTAATTTATCCATTCATTTATGAAAATACATCTTGGTTGCTTCTAATTTTTGGCAATAATGACTAAAGCTGCTGTATACATGCATGTGCAGGAATTTGTGTAGATGTAACTTTTTAAAACATTTTGGGAAATACCAAGGAGCACAGCTCCTGGATCACTTAGTAAGCGTATTTTAGTTTTGTGATCAATTGCCAAGCGGTCTTCTGAAATAATTGTGCTATTTTGAATTACCACCAGCAATGACTAATAGTTCCTATTGTTTCATATTCTTGCCAACATTTGATTTTATCAGTGCTTTGGATTTTAGTCATTGGATAGGCATGTATCATTTTTGTTTTAGTTTGCATGTCCCTAATGATCTCTGCTGTTGAGTATTTATCATATCCTTATTTGCCACCTGTTTTTCTTTCTGGGTGAGATATATGCTCAAATCCCTTGTTCATGTTTATCATGTTTATAATCAGGTTGTCTAATTTCTGATTTTTTTATTAAATCAATATTTTTCATTATGGTTTTGTGGGGTACAGTTAAGGGCTAGGTGTACAATTAGGTTTCATTCAGGCACCCTGTTGATAAGAGGTGTTTCCCCTTCCCCAGACAGATATTTGCTACTGTTAATCCC